ATAAACACAAGAATAAAAGAGTAAGAACAAAGAGAATAAGAGACTAAGCTCAAGTTTATTGAAAGGTAGAACAACCCAATCTTATAACTATAGCGATCATGTAACCTTTTTCCTAAAATGTAGCGTGAAAAATTTTAATTTTTATCATGGAAGGTAGTAATGAAAAAATTTTCCATTTTTCATGTTTTCCTATTGCCTGTGTTTTTCAAGTGTGTCTCAAGCTTAAATTTATAAAAAAGTTCCTAAAAAATTTTGAAAAAATTTATGTGAATCCAAAATATTAAAAGAAAAAATTTTCCCCTTTTTTCTTTTTTCTATAAATCGATTAATTTCGAAATAAAAAAACATTTTTTACAAAAATAAGTTTTTACAAAATTACAAAAAAATTCGGTATTATTATGAAAAATCATCTCATACCAATTAAAAGAAACCATCTTAAAATTAAAAGATTATATTTTTAAATATTTTTTTCGTTAATTTTTTCCGATAATGTTTTATCAAACTACAGCGCTTTAAAATAAAACAAAAATATTGAAAAATACTAGTTTTTATATAATTTAAGAACAAAATATTGTAACAACAAAACTGAAAAATAAATTAATAGCTCAATCTTTTTAAAATGCACTTTTGAAAGCTTCTCTATGGTTTTATTTTCTGATATATGAGAAAATCGTTTCTGAATTTATGGACGGTAATGCATATCGATGTATTATTCGAAGTACAAAATACTTAGCTACTTTACATTGTTCAACTAGATTGAAAGATTAATGAATATCAAGTATTAAGCCAATTATGTCAATTATATATGTATATAACACCGCGTGATGTAGAATTCTTCTCAAAGAAAACATTGATTTTCACATGAAATTCGATCTAAAGAATTTGCAGTTGTTACGCAATTATATCATAACGCTATAATATTCTTTAGCGAGTTGATTCTATTATTACTACGTAATAATTTTACACGGATATAAATAAGTAAAGTCGGTTCTCTCTCTAAGTAATGATCAACAGTTTGAAAATTATAAGTCTGTTTACAGCTTAACTAAAGTACATGTTATATATTATGTATTGGAGACTGAGGATTGTAAATTAAAGAATAGCTGCGTTCAGCAGAACACAACAGTTTTATAATCGTTTTATGATTGTCTGCTGAGATAGTATCATTCCTCTCTAGAGTAAAAATACTGCAATTTAATCAAAAGCGAAGAAAACTTCCAACAGTTGCAAAATAAATGTTTTGCTAAACACAGCCATTAGAATTCGATCAGATAATTTTATAATTTTAATCCATATCATTCTGATTGGCTGGATTTTAATTTTTAATTTGCAATCCTCAATTTCCAATGCGTAATGCCAGTGTCACACTTCGGATTGCGAACGCGGATCGGATTGGGATTGCGGATCGTCGGATTTGGATTCTTCGTTCACACTACGGACCATGGTACGGACTACGGATTCAATTTGCAACATATGCTGTATCGCAAATGTCGTGTCGTCGACGTTTGCTGTGTACATTCTCTCTCTTGATAAAACGGTTTTAAAAGTTGCGTCCCGAAATTTGGAACCCATTGTATGAGTTATGATGAGCACAGGTAACCTAACCACACAAACGATGCTTATTCATCTATCATAAATGGGTCACGTGACCAAACTCGATGTTTTATTGGCTTGGATTACGATTACGGATCGCAAAAATAGAGAGCCGTCTATTCTGTAA